AATTGCCAGGTAATTTTATAGCAGATGTTAACAATGTTTAGTACACAAGGTGAGGGGAGGGCGGCACTGTTACTTCAGCAAGGGGGTCAGGACCTTTTAGATTCAAAAGCAGTTTCACAGCAGTGGGAAGGGCAGATATAAATCAGCTATAGGAACTGGATTTCAAGTTGCAATACAAGAGGCATGCACCACATCAGCTGTTTAAGAAAAAAGCTGCTTGGAAGCATTCACTATACACTCTCCAAAGCAACTGCTGAATGCCTGTTCAGTATTAGTGAGCATATCCTAAACTGAGGCTGGGTTTGAAAACACTTGTAAAAATGCATAAAGGTAGACTCACCACACTGCAGCTGAAGACTGAATTTTAACCATTACCAAAAGAACAGCTGTGCACACCTCTCCTCACTTTAATGAGCCCCACACAGAAATCCTAATAAACCCTTCACCAGCACCACTCACCAAATACTGCCCCTCTATTTTCTGAGACACAAGTTAAGCTCAGTTAAACACAAATAGGCTTGCTTCTAAAGTACTCTACTGAACAAAAACCTTCTTTAGTATTTGGAAAAAGCACACGAAGGTTTCTAAAAAGCCTGCTCTAATCACACAGCAATAATTTGATACATGTGACCTCCAATTTTTTTTTTTTTAAATAACACAAGGGACCCTCAAACCACAGACTATCTTTCTTCACTGCCTGCAGCAGTTACTATAATGTAACCAGCTTCAGAAAGTCATCACTAGAGGCTTCAGGCACTCCCATCTCAAGCATGGCAACATTAGCTTTTAACACATGGCTTCTGGCATGCTTTAAGGAAATATTTATGCATGTTGTCTTTGACCTACAAGAATTAAAAGAGTTTTCAAATACCATGAGAAAGTTAAAAAAAGAAAAGGGTCAGTGAACTGCCAGAACACTAGACAAGCCTTAGGGGTTCTTCTATTCTGGAATCAAAACACTGCACATCCCTGGTAAGAATACAGCCAAGCTGGACAGAATTTCCCATCCTGAAAACGGGCACAGAACTCTGCAATCCCTTTAATCATTGTCCCAGTGCAGAACCAGGGAAGCTGGGAGATTCCTGCAAGTGGTTTCTGCCATTGCCCAACTGCCACCCACACAGGTGACAGGTGAGTGCCTGGGAAAAGCTGCCTGGAGACGCCTGTACAGAGGACAAACATCAACCCACGGGAAATGGAAGGGCACCCACCAAACCAAGAGCTCTTCCTCCTTCTCAGCTGCATTCCCTTCAGGCAGCAGTCACTAGAACATTTACTGGGCAGCCTCTGTATTTACTGTTAAGTGCAGTAACAAGTCAGAGTTTATGTAGCCAGGATTTAGTTTTATGGTGACAATATACTGTTATATTTTACTTTTACAAGGCCCAGTTCCTTCGTCATCTCCAAGCTGGCTAAGGCTTCCAGAATTTAAATAACACTACCACAAATACCACCACTCTCCCCACCAACCACCTTGCCTCAATATCAACTATCTCATGCACTGTGCTTTGCATCTGTGTTTAAGCAGGATGCTGGGTTTTGGTTTTTTTTGGCTTGACCACTCAGAGCTGGCCCAGAGCCCTCACCTTGCAGCAGGGTTCTGCTATCTGCACGTCAGTTCTCTGTGCTGGAAGTGGCTGATATTCCTACTTGCTGGATCCTGAGTGAGTGCTGAAGCGCTGCACTCCCCACAAGCCATGGGAACAGTTTCCCTGAAATGAAACACAGATTATCAGCAAAAAAGAGGGGATCAATTTCACAGAGGGACATGTAAAAACTCGGCAAACAGTATCTAAGAAGTCACAAACAACTCAAAGGGTCACTGGGAGCCAGAAAGAGACATGCTGATACCTAGAAACATGGCAAGAACACTAGGAGCCAAGTTAAAATCAACAGGAAGGAATTCCCAGCATATGTTATTCTAACAGAGGTTACCAAAAAGCAGGTGTTGCAAACCCAGCCAAAAAGAGATGCTGAGTACTAATATCACAACTAAACCTACACAAGTAGATGCAGAATAACAAAATAACAAATCATTGTGTGACAGGGAAAGAGATGACCTTACTGCCTAATTTCTAGTCTGAAAAGCCTGATCCACTTTAAATGTTACTATCAGGGTATCACAAAACATAGATCACTCTCCTAACCACTCCAAATTCAAGCAACTGCCCCTTTGATCGTGACATGGATCTTCTTGAAGTGGAAGCAGTTTAGCAGCATCAACAAAAATTACAACAGGGCTGCAGTTTTTTTCCTTGCTTCCTGCATGTCAGCACAGGGCATGGGAAAACAGGCAAGGGAGCAGATCCTTAGAGGGATCTCTCGAGCATCCAGCCTCCCAGCCATGCAGGAGAGGACTGCGGAACATCGGAGAGCACCGTGTCAACAACAGGGAGAAATGAGAAAGAACAGACATCAGTGGGAGAAAGTCCAACCCCATAATGTTGAAGATGTGCGAGGGCTCATTCCTCTTGATCGCAAAGTTATCATTCGGGCTGACAGATTTTGAAGCAAGACCCTGGAAACCAAAGCTATGGCATTTTAGCCGTACCACAGTGCCGCAAAGGCAGCAGCAGGAGGGGAGGACTCTCTGACCTTCCCCCCGCTCCAGGCAACGGGTACCAGCCTCAACCCAGCACACCTCGGCACCAGCCCCCGCCGCTCCACCGCGGCTTTCCGGACACAGAAACAAACATCCTCCGGGAGATATAAATAAATCCCACCGCGCTTCCGTGCGCAGGTAACGAACGGCGGCGTCCTCCCCTCGCCGGGGGACACTGCGCACAGCCCGGCCCCGCCTCGCCCCACAGACCGGGCGAGGAGCCCCGCGCCCCGGCCGGTGGGAGAGCAGGGGCGGCGGGACACGGAGGCACCGAATCGCTGCCCAATTACTCAGCAAATCCTTCCTGCCCGCCGCTTCCGAGCCCCCTCAGCCGCGCCCCTCCCGACCCGGCGTCCCACCCCATCCCCGCGGGGACATCACCCCACACGGGGACACGTCCCCACAGCCCGCCCGCGGCGTGAGGGGAGCGCGGCACACCCACCTGCCCGCCGCGGCCGTGCCGGGAACCCACCGCACCCACCTGCCCGCGGCGCCCACCCTCCCGAACGCCGCTCCGGCGCCTTTTGTCCGCCCTGCCCGCAGCGGCCCCACCCCGGATCTGACCTCACCCGGCCGGCGCTGCCACCATCGCCCCGTCCCGCCGCCATCTTAGGGGCGGGCACGGCGACACGGGCGCGGCGCCATCTTTGTGCAGGGCGCGCTCCACAGGGGAGTGGGCGGGAACGGGGGGGGAGTGAGGGCGGCGGCGCCATCTTGGAAGCGGGCAGCGCTCAAAATGGCGGCAGCCTTAAAGAAGCCGAGCGCGTCCAGGCGCTGAGACGTTTGTGGTGCCTGAAAAAAGTGATTCACTGGTAGTTATTTTTTACTTGTCTGACGCAATGGAGGACACTGTGAAGCATAATTTCTTTTAAAATTCATAAAGGAGTGTTCAAAGGCATTAGTTGTAATTTTATTAGTGTACAGCAGGCGTTTCTGAGAGGTTAAGTGCAGCCAATTTTAACTTTTCTACACCAGTGATGTCTGTAACAATAAAGTAAGTGCATCTCTGGCTTTCTAGGAATATTATAAGTCTTAGCAACTTCCTGTAGCCACAGGCACAAGATCTATACCAAAGAACCAGGGATCCCAGTGCCATGACATAGGGCTGTAGACTCTTATCAGCCCAGTGCAATAGCTTTTTTCGTTTTTGGTTTTGTTTTTTTTTAAATCAACGCTAATTCAGAATCGATCCTTTATGTCCCATTGCATTTGTTAAATAAAAATTACCTGAAGAAAAAGAAGGTTGTAACTTTCCTTGAGTTTCACAGTAAAAAGTACAACTTGAGATGTGTCCTTTACATCACTGACCTCATGCAGAAATTTTCTGCTGAATTTCAAGAGGGCATGAAGGTGAAGTTTCATTATATTGATGGACCAATATAATGTCTAAATCCTGACAGAGAAGGTGGGGGCTTGTGTCCATCCCTTTTTGTCCCTACTCCTCCCTGCCCATATCTCTTTTTCCTTGCCCCCATATCCACCCTGAGCCAGTTCAACTCATGGACCTGACAGAAAATTGCCCACTTTTCTGCAAAATAGGCTTTTTGCTAATATATCTAAATAAAAAAGCTCAATTCAGGGGCAAGCAACAACGAGGGAAGGCAGAAGGCTGGTGGAGGACAGGGCAAAGAAAGCACAGGAAAAAATGCCACTGAGCCATTTGAAAGCTCCAGATGTGACACAAACATTCTCACAGAGCCAAATTTTCCTTCCATCTGTTTGTTTCAGTGTTTGATTTAAACAGAAATGCAGAAAGCAGGGCTTTCCTCTCCCTGCAGACATTCCCTCCCGCTTAATCACCTCAGGGATGCCTGTGGGGTGTCGCGCTGGGGCTGGAAACCTTTGGCACAGCGGATGCAGCCGCTTCCCTTCCCCGTGGCTCATTTTTTCCTGCTGTGAAAGGGCGACAGAAATTATTCAGGAGACTTACACGGCCTGACCCATGGGTGCAGGGGAAGCCTTGTCACTAAAGGAAGAGGGCAGTTTTCCCTCAGGAGCTCGCTGCAGCAGCTGCCAGCTCCCAAGCACTGAGGGCGGGCTCAGCTCCTGCTGTCCCTGCCGGGCAATGCCGCAGGATCTGCTCGGGGCTCTGTCGAGGCAGGAGGACCTTACACTTACCCCTTCCCTTCTCGAGTAACATTAAGCCTGCAGGATGAAATATCTGAGAGGATTTTGACTTTAAAAATTCAATTTTCCAAATGACCGAAGGCTTCGCTCAAAGGGCAATTCCATGCCATTGCTAAGCTAAAGTGTTCACAGCCAAACCACCAAAAAATACGCCGCTACGCCAGCATGAGCTTCCACCTGAGCAACAAGCCGGGGCATTCCCCAGGCAGCCGAGCCCTCAGAGCCCTCAGAGCGGCCCCCGAGCGCCGCTCCCCCTCAGGGCTGCGGCTCCGCTCCCGCCTTCCTGCGGCCTCCGCCGCTCCTCCCAGGAAGTCCCGGCCGCAGATGAAGCTTTTCGGGCAGAGGAGAAGGCAGAATGTGTGCCAGTGCAGCCTGGGCGGCTGTGCCAGGCTTTGCAGCGTAAAGCAGCGCGGCCCAGCTCCATGTAAGTTGTTTGTGTCCCCGCTGTCCCTCTGGCAGCTGCTTTGTCCCCAGTGTGAGCTCCTGCTGCTCTCGCCCGGGTCCTGCGCTCCTCCCGGGGCACATCCAGGGACAGCCGTGTCCCCAAAGGCTCCCGGGTGCACCCCCGAGCTGCCAGGGGGGCGGTCGAGGAGCACGGGGATGGAGGAGAGGGCTGCGCCCCGCGGGCTGCCCGTGGTGAGCGAGCAGTCCCCGAGGTCACCTTCCCGGCTGTCACCTCCAAAACCCTCTGCCCAGCACAGTGCTCCCTTCCCGAGTCGGCTGCCCCCAGCCCTGTGCACAGCTCTGTGCTTTGCTGCTATCTGATAAAGCCTTTTTCACTGCCACGCTTTGATTCTGTCCCCTGCAGGGTAGGTCTCCTCGTTCAGGGTCTCCTTTGCACCCCAAAGCGGTGTCCCCCCACATCTCAGTGTCAGGCAAGCACAAGGTGGAGGTTTTACAGTCATAAGCAATATGACGCTCTGGCTTCCAATTTTTCCATAAGTTGTGCTATTTTTTCCCACTTGGCGAAGAGATGTGAAACCCCACTGGTCTCAGCTAGCAGCTGTTTTACACTTTTTTTTGAAATATCAAAAAAAACAAACAATGGGGATTCACATCCTGCATGTAAGGATGGAAAGTGCCCTTAGGAGCATTGAGAGCTTACCTGTGGGCTGGTCAGCTTCAAATCTGTTTTAATTTTTTGGCAGATGGGTAAATTAATTCATGGCTGGTCATAATAAAGGTGCATACATCCTCCAGCCTCATTGCTTTTAACTCAAGTACCTAACAAAACATTCACTTTTTTTACGTTAAATACTGCATGTTTAAGTAATGCTGTAGAATAGCTGAAGGAACCTGAGGTGAAGCAACAGGCTGCATTTTACTCACAGAAATCAATTTGTTTGGGGCCTTGAAGGAAAGGTAATCACTAAAATCACTTTATAGATAGAAGGTGACATCCTGTTAATTGGAATAAAACTTGTGACTAAACCAGAGCTGCAGCAGCTGAGAGGCCAGAGATTCTCTGTATGGGCCAGGAAGGTGAAAATGGGTGGTATTCACATGCCCTCTGAACACAGAGAAGCTGTGAGAGAAGCAGAGAAAAGAATGATCAAAACAGTTCTTATCTCATTTGCTGCTCCTGTGTTTTTGCACGTGTGGAATGTATTGGAAGATAGTTTATCTGAAGGAATTTGGTAATTGGATTCTGGTGGAGATAGGCTAATTAACATAAACAATCAGGTCCAAGCTGTGTGGACTGTTGGCTGCAGAGTCACAAGTTTTTGAGTAGTAAGTATTATATAGTATAGTATCTCTCTTTAATACAGTATAATGTAACATAGTATAGTTTTAACAAAGTGAGTGTTCAGCATTCTGAAGTTATCTGAAGGAATTTGGTAATTGGATTCTGGTGGAGATAGGCTAATTAACATAAACAATCAGGTCCAAGCTGTGTGGACTGTTGGCTGCAGAGTCACAAGTTTTTGAGTAGCAAGTATGATATAGTATAGTATCTCTCTTTAATACAGTATAATGTAACATAGCATAGTTTTAACAGAGTGTTCAGCATTCTGAAGCCTTGGAGTCAGATACCAATCATTCCCTGGTCAGAGGTTGCCTGATTTTTCTATAAGAGTGTTGCAAGGGAGGAAGGGCAGAGGCAGGAGTTACCTGGGCTCAGTGATACTCGATGAGTACCACATTCCCAGAGGATGCCCTCTCACGGGTGTCCATACCACTCCCATCAGTGCAGAGGAAAGTGGGGGAAGCCTGGACTGGGAGGGAGGAGGCAGAAGTCATGGTGGCCCTTGTGATCCTGATCCTGTGTGTCATGGGCACAAAGTACAGCCCCAGCACTGCTGGACATTGCAGTGATGACACACAAAGCAGCTCGTTTGGCCTTTTCCTCTCTGTGGCAGAACAGCCTCTGCTTGGGTCTGGGCCTGCCTGATCCCAGGCAGAGGTGTGCTTTAACCCTGTGGATCAGTTGCCTCAGCCCTGTCCTTTGGGAGTTGCAGGTCTGTGCCTGCAGGAGTGAGACAGCAGGAGCCGTGGCATGCTCAGGAGAGCGGGACCGTCCCTGCGCCACTTCTTGCTGGAGAAGAACAGTGCTGGACATAGCTCGTGCTCCAGAGAGGTATGGAATGCCCAGGGGGACTGTTCCTGGCTGGCAGCCTGCCCAGGGCACCTCATCTTGGCAGCAAGAGCAGGCAGAGCACGTCAGGAAAAGCCACTCTGGTGCAACTTCCTCTGTACCTGCTTATTTCTAGGGAGTTTTAAAGGACCCTCATAAGTAAGGGAATATCCTTCACAGAGGAAAAGGCTCCTTGTTTGTGGGGTTGCTTCTTCTGATGGTCTCTACTAGGGCCTCCTGGCTTGCAAAGTACTTGGAAAATACCAGCATCCCACTCAGAGATCCCAACACGCAGAGCAAGGCAGTCACACACAGCAGAGTGGTGGAAGATCATGGATGCCAAGTCTTCTGCACTGGCACTCAGCTCTCCTGTGTGACTGCCAGGCAAACTGCATCTTCTGTCTGGGGACAGAACAGACTGAAACAGATTTGAGGGCTGCATGGTCCTGAGCCTGTGTGCTCTCTATGGCAGCGTCACACACAGGCTGGGATAGGATGGGATGGAGGGGATATCAGGAAAAAAAAAGTATTTGTTATTTCTGTTCCTGAAGCAGACAAGGCCTTTCCTCAGAACTGGGAATTTCAAGGCTTAAGGCAGCTTCTTCCCACTGATCCCTATCACACTTGGTCATCTGTTAAATTCTCTGACCTGTGGCCTGCAGCAGCCCCACCTTGCAGAACAGCACTGGAGCTGTTAATATTTTACCTCCAGCTATCTTTTACTTCCCAAGTCCTTCTGCTCCCACCCAAATCAGCTCAGACACCAGGTCTTGTGACTCTAACAGCCATGAGCTTGTGCAGAAAGAGCAGAGAGGCTGCCCTGGAGCCAGTGACCTGCTTGCATTGGCTGCCTGTGGGTGGAGGGTGGAGCAGAGTCCACCTGGTGCCCTCTGAAGCACAGGGCTCCCCTGCTGGGTGTTTGCAAAGATCTCTGGTAAGGGCTGAAGCTGTATAAAAATCCAAGGACCTCAGCACAGAGCGTCCTTGGGGCACTACCCAAATTCTGCTGCAGTGCTGTGGGAAGAGCAGAGGGGAGCAGGTAAGTCCTGCTGCAGCTGGGTGTTGGGAGGAGGCTGACCTGGTATCCCCCCACATGCTGGCACAGCAGAGCACAGACCCCTGCACATCCCAGCTCTTCACCTCAGCTGCTTTCACATGCCTTCCTTGTTCCAGTTCAGATGTATTTTATTTGCTGTGGTGACAATGGCTTTCTTGACTCATTGCTTCAGGGCTGCCCTCCTCGTGCCCCCACGCTGGCTCTTTCTGGTGCACTGAGCATCCTTTGTCTCCAGTTTCCAGCCCCTTCCCTGTCTGGGTGCCTTTTTCCTGCACTGCTGAGTTACTAAATTCTGTCTCTGCTGCTTTTCATCATCCTTGTGATGAATTCCCCAAGAAGTACATCTAACTTTCTTCCACTGTGCTTATCCAACTGGAAGGAGGGTTTTGCTTTCAGTGTTCCTGCTGTCTTTCTTTCCACTCCCCTGAGCCATGATGTACATGGAAATTCCAAACCAGTCACGGCATGGTACCTCAGTGTCTGTACATCACACTGACCTCTGTGCTGTGCTCTCTTGCCTGTACCTACTTACTTCTTGGGTTTGATGTGATCTTTAAATAGAAAACTTCACATTTTATAGGATCTAGAGCAAGCCCCCTCACCAAGCACTTCATCAGGACAGAAGAGTATCTACTTCTGCTACTTCATAGAACAGCATGGAATAAAATAGTTTGTTCTTCCAGGAGAAGGGGGTATTTCATGGCCTGTAGAGTAAGGAGTCTTTCCTATCAAGGTGGAGAGGTTATGGAAGGTAAAAGCCTGAGGCCTGGGGTCCTTGGCCTGGCTACAGCCTGGCTGAGCTTGACCCCATGACCAATCCAAACAAGTAATGAGGTTTAAGGCATTGCCACCTCCCCAGTGAGTGTACAAAAGCTTCTCTTGTTCATCTATTTTCCCAATTCTTGTTGAAACTTGTAAGTGAAAGCAGAAACCACTGCAACAGTATTACTACTCCAAGGTCAGTCAGGAACAGCCCATGAAGCAATACTAAAGGGCACACCTTCTGTTGGGAAAAACTTCCCTGGGGAGGCCACGGCCCCTTTGTGGCCTCTTTTAAAAGCTTCAAACTCATTTTCTTTTTCACTCTCTGCAGGCAAAAATGTCAAGGCCGGTGCAAGCTCGGAGGCTGGAGGGAATAGATAAAAATATCTGGTGAGTTAAAAGAATATCTGGTTTACCCAGGTGGTAGATGTGGTTTTAGGCATCCTAAAACCAGATTGAAACCACAGTAGCCACACAGCACAGAGCAGAAGTTTCCCTCAACTGCTTTGCATGTGTTCAGGAAGCACGTCAGAGCAAGTTTGTCCCAGAAGACTCTACCATGAGTCAGTGCTGTACCTGCAGCTCTCACTTCAGGATGTATCAGGTTTTCTGCACCACTGGGCAGGCAGAAGCACCACCCTCCCTGTGACCCATCCACCCAAATGATCCCAGTGGCACCCAAATCTGAGCCAAGTGTTTGCTGCACACTGGCTGCAGCCTGGCACCTCTGCAAGCTCACCCTGGGGCACCACAAGCAGAGAGGCAGGGCAAGGGCTGCTGCAAATGCCATTCCCATCCTGCCAGGCACAATGTGGCATTGGGAAGGTTGTGTGCTGGAAGAAGAGATTTAAATGGTCTTTCCCCAAGGCCCTGATGTGCCTGGGCTCAAGCTACAAACTGCCAGTGAGATGGCTCTTGTTTGGTTTGAGATGAGCAGTGAGTTCAACCCACCCTGCCCTCAGCAGAGGCCTTCACAGTGTCTGGTTGCTAAATTTTGCAGGGCTGGTATGAGCTTGAAAACCTCCAAGTCCCCTCCTGCTCAGTCCAGTGTGATCTGAAACACCACAGGCTTTCAGCTGTGACCACACACTGACCACAGGAGCTGGTTCCTGGGAGAATAAATTAAAACAGTTCCCCCAGTGCAATAGTTCATCATCCTTGGTTTAATTGCAGCAGGTCTGAAATGAGCTGTGCTGGGTCCTGCCTGCCTATGAGCAGCAGGATGGCTCTGCAGGAGGGACACCAACCCCACTCCCTTCCAAAGGGATGCTGTGAGCAGACCCAGTGCCAGCACACTGCTCACACCTCTGAAAGTGCTTTTGTCTCCCTTCTCTCTAGGGTGGAGTTTGTAAAACTGGCTGCTACCTACTCCAAGGTGAACCTGGGCCAGGGCTTCCCTGACTTCCCTGCACCAGACTTTCTGACAGAGGCACTCACAAGAGCCCTGGGCGGGGGGAACCACATGCTGCACCAGTACACCCGTGCCTTTGTGAGTGACAGATCTCCCTCCCCAGCACCACCCCCTCAGTCCCCACCAGCCCTGGCTGCTTCAGAGCTCACCAGGCAGCTGTAAACAGCAAAAAAAAAGAGGCAAAACATACATCCAGCCTCAACCCATGCCCACTGTTCCCAGTAACTCCCTGCTTTACTGCGATGCTTGAAGCAGCCAGGCTGGAAGATCTCACAGGGCTCTTGGCTTCCCAGTCCCCTTCCAAGGGTTCATTCTTGGTTTAGGAATCTTCTGCAACCCAATTCCCACTCTCCTCTCACCCCACAGGGCCACCCACCTCTGGTGAAGGTCTTAGCCCAGTTTTTTGAGAAGCTGCTTGGACGAGACCTGGATCCTATGACCAATGTGATGGTGACTGTGGGAGCATACCAGGCCCTGTTCTGCTGCTTCCAGGCTTTAGTGGATGAAGGTGATGAGGTAACCCAAGATAAGGGCTTGTTGCACTGGCAGCCTTCCCCCAGGGGACCTGCAGGCTGGTTTTCATTGTCCTTTTTCAAAGCAAAACCAGTTTTATCCCCATTCTGCAGTATTTGAGCTTCCAAAGGAAGAAATTATTTGCTTCAGGGCATTGCCTCATTTCTGCATAAAGCAAAATAACCCTTTTTGTCCTGAGTGGTGATGTCCTTCCTGACACTCCCCACAGGCAATGCAGGTTCTCCATTACAGTAATTAGGGATTAAAATGTCCTGTCCCTCCCATTGCTCTCTGCACTCCTCAGGGAAGGTCTGAGCAGGACCAGGAGGATGCTGACATGTCCCTTTCTTCCAGGTGATAATCATTGAACCCTTCTTTGACTGCTATGAGCCCATGGTGAAAATGGCTGGTGGGACACCTGTGTTTGTGCCTCTGAGACCGGTGAGTGGGTGGAGAAGGGAAGAGTCACAGCAGTCAGCAAAGAGGTGAGTGGTAAACAAGGTGCAGGGGTAGCAAAGCAAACCAAGATTCCCATGTTCTCTCTAGAATCCTCCAAAAGATGGAAAATTGATGTCTAGTGCAGACTGGCAGCTGGACCCAGCTGAACTGGCTTCTAAATTCAGTGAACGGACAAAAGCCATCGTCCTGAACTCGCCCAACAACCCTCTGGGCAAGGTAACACTGCTGCAATCCACTGCTGCTGGGCCCTGGAAGCTGCTGGGGTGCTGCAGCCACATTTGCAGTGCAGCAGACTCAGCCTGCCTTGCACACAGGGGAAGTGGGTGCTGTGGGAGCACCAAATGCTGTGCTCATGGTGTTTTTAAGCCTTGTCTTTTGTGCCAGCAGTGCTTTTGCTCTGTTAGACCACTGCAGCAGCTCCTGCCCCTCCCTGGCACGGGAGATGGTGCCAGGAGGATACTCACAACCTGCAGGGACAGGCAGGGGCTCAGAAGTGCTCCTGCTGTGCCTCTGCTGCACTCCGTGCCTGCCGCAGGTGTTCAGCCGCGGGGAGCTGGGGCTGATTGCAGAGCTGTGTGTGAAGCACGACGTGCTGTGCATCAGCGACGAGGTGTACGAGTGGCTGGTCTACGACGGGAAGCAGCACATCCGCATCGGTACGGGGCAGGGCTGGGCGGGGCGGGGCTGCTCGGGCAGGGAATGGGCGCTGCCCTGGCCGCCCCTGGAAATCCCAGGAGCTGCCGGCATGCACAGCTGTGCTAGGCATGAATCCCCCACTGGAGGTATTTTGGTGCACTTCAATCTCAGCCTCCAAACCAGGTCCTAAACAGAAGCTCTGACTTCAGAGCCAGAGGGGAGATCTAGAACAAAAAGCCACTTGACTCCAGTGAAACTGATTTTTTTCCCTTTGTTTTGTAAAGCCACAGTTTTCTGAATGTCTCCAGCTCCAGGAAATTCATTTCAACACGGTTTCAGCCTGTTCTTCCAGTTGGAGTAACATACCATCACCTTGATGCAGGGTGATGGTGCTTGGCATCTCTGAGAGCCCCTGGGGCTGGGTACATGCCTGTGAAAAATGCTTAATTAAAAGGAGATGCTCTTGAGAAACCTGGCTGCCTGCTTGGGATGTGCTTTGAGGCTCATCCAGGTGAAAGATGTGCTGTGAACACTAAAGATCACTGTGGATTATGGTGGACAGAGAGCTCCCACGTGCCATTAATGCAGCCAGAAGGGAGCATGCTGAGCTCTGCCATTGGGGTTTCTCTCCTTTCACTGCCAGCCAGCTTGCAGGGGATGTGGGACCGCACGGTGATCGTTGGCAGCGCTGGGAAGACCTTCAGTGCCACTGGATGGAAGGTGAATGTCCCATGTGGCACCTCGTTGTGTCCCCATCCCTGTCCCTTTGCCACAGCACAGGGGACACTACGGCCACGCTCAGCTTTGAGCCTCAGGGTCTGAAAGTACCAGAGGTGCTTCATAAAAGTTCTGTCTAGAAAAAGCAATGAAACCAGCACAGGCAAGAAAGGGGAGCCTGAGCAGGCAGCCAGACTCACCATCCTCCTCCTCCTCTCCTGGCTGCAGGTGGGCTGGGTCGTGGGACCTGACAGGCTGCTGCAGCACCTCCGCACTGTGCACCAGAACTCCGTGTACCACTGTGCCACAATTGCCCAGGTAAGGCAGCTCCCTGCAGCTGGCCCTGCAATCCCAAGCCCTCAGAGCAGGGGTGAGAGATGGTCCTCTTGGCCACAGCTGACCTGAAAGGCACACACAAGTGATTTGTGGTGCCCTGAAGAGGCTCCTTCCTCTCTCCCTACAGTTGTTACATATCTGGGAGAAAGGGGAGAGTCCAGCCTGCCTAGGGTATACTCCTTATCTTGCATTGACAAATTTAAGGGGCAGTTCAGAGGGGCTGGTGGCAGAGAGCTCCCTAATCACCTGTGAGTTGCAGGAACTTCACTTCCCAAGAAAGCCCTGACCACTGGGCACTGGTTCCTCTCTCCTTACAGGAGGCTGTGGCTCAGTGCTTCCAGAGGGAGCTCACGCTCTATGGAAAACCAGAGAGCTACTTTGTCCAGCTGCCCAAGGAGCTGCAGCAGAAGAGAGACTGGTTGGTTCAGAGCCTGGATGGGGTGGGGATGAAACCCATCATCCCAGAGGGCACCTACTTCCTGGTGGCAGACATCTCCCCGTTCAGTGAGTCACCTGCAGTCCTGCCCAGGTGGGCTGGGTGTGGGGTGTGGCACTGCTGGCAGGGACAGGAACCTGCATAAACCATCATCAGAGCAGGGATGGGCTGCATGTTCCCCATCCCAGCTGCCAGGATGGGGGCTTGGGGCTCAGAGAGGCACCTGGCAGCTGTCCAGCCTCTGTCCTGCTGTGCTTCTCCTGCAGAATCTGATGTCCCTGATGTCCCCAGCTCAGACGAGCCCTACGACTCCAGATTTGCAAAGTGGATGGTCAAGAACAAGGTAAAAGGGTCTGGCCCTGCCTGCTGCCTTTACCCTGGGTGGGTTCATGCCCACCCAAGCTCATGGCTGGGGGCTGGAGTTCACCCACGCTGGGGCCCAGCAGGCTGCAGGCCAGCCCCAGAGCAGCACCCTCAGCCCCACGTGCCTCCTCCTCCTCCTGCCAGGGGCTCGCTGCCATCCCGCTCTCCGCGTTCTACAGCGAGGCCCACAAGAACAACTACACCAATTTCATCCGGTTCTGCTTTGCAAAGGTGAGACGTGGACAGCACTGAGGAAGGCAAGGTTGGGAGTAATAATCAGGGCTGGTTTAATGAGAGAAATGGCAAAAAGAAATGCAGGATGCCTTGTGCATTGGAGCCCCACCATGGCATCCCAGCTGGAGCAGCCACTCCTGCAGACACATGAGCTGAGCTGGGGGCAGCAGATGTGCCAGGGCTATCCTAAACATCCTGACTTTTCCATCAGCATCCTACATTTCTTAGCCAAGGAAGGGACTCTCTAGGTGCCCCTTTAGCTGCCCAGTGGCTGTGCCCATCTCATACTGAACCTGCAATGCTTCAGAATGAGAACAGGATTTTTGTGTCAACAGTGGCTGCAGTGAGGGGGAATAGGATTTGGCTGGGAGCCACTGACCACATCTGTGGTATTTTTTAGGAGGAAGCTACCCTGAAGGCAGCAAGTGACATATTGCAAAAATGGAAACAGGAGAAAGCCAGCTCCTGAATACACTGAGAGAACCAGGCTCTCCCTGGCCCTCAGCTGCCCCAGCTGCTCCTCTTCTTCACTTGTCTACAAACTTTGGTATGTTCTTCCTTCAGTGCTTTCAACAACATTTTCTGACAGACAAATGGTTAAGTTTTTTCCAGGCCCAGGGCCTGGGGGACATTTTCAATCACTGAAATGATTTCAAGAAATGAGACTGTGTGCACTGACAGCATTTGACATTTTATATGTGAAAACTTTGATAATCAGTTCTGGGATGCGTCCAGCAACACACAAGGTGAGGATGGCTTCTGGGCTCTGTCTCATCACCAAATTCTGAAAAGGTGTTTCAGGACCTGTCTTTAAGGCCATGCTGGAGGGTTAGTGTGGCTTGTCTTGCTCCACATCCCCACTCAGGGCAGCATTTCCACCAGCACTCACGTTCCCACAGGACTAGAGAGTGTCACCAGCCATCAGTAAGGTGACTCCTCTGATCCTGACAATTACAAACCCAGTGAAATGACATTTCTCATCATGAATTATTTTCCTACTATTTTTTTTCTGTGCATCTCTGGGGAAAATGACCACACAATTGTTTTCCCCCAGGAGCCAAGCTTTCACCAGTAGCCTGGCTATTGTCAAACCTTCCAGATTACTCCTGGCACTTTCTCAGGGCTTGGCAGCGTCGTCCGGGCTCCAGAGCAAAACTTTTTCTGGCCTTTGACAAATGCACACCGTGGCTGGGGAGAATGGGCACCTTGGCTTTGGCTGCTCCTACTGCTGGTGGCCACCACAACCTCCCACCCAGTGAGCTGGTGGGGTAACATGAGCAATTCTGGAGAGGTAAATTCTTGTATCAGTGTTGATTTCAGCCTGGATAAGAGGGTAAAACATCATCATCATCAACCACGTGGGAGTTGTGTGCAACAGACTGCGATGAGTGTTTGTAGCAGTTAAATTATTAAAGAAGAATTACTGCAATCATGGAAAAGTGTCTCTGTAATGACTGAGGGACTGATGGAGTTCTCCTTGAGAGCTGCCTCATCTCTGCTGGGCCCTGTGGTGGTGGCTACTTGTCCCACTCAGGCTGGTGGGGAGAGCTCTGTAGGTTTTCCATTTGGAGCTGCAGCTTGGTGATACCAACCCTTGGAGGCAGAGCTGCTTGGGCCAGGAGGAGGGAGGGAGAGAGGGAAGGGGGCAAAGAGCCACCTGCCATTCCTGGCATCCCAGCTCACCTGCGAGCTCAGCCTGGCTGGGAGGGGGTTGCTGAAAGCCCTTTTGCACCCCTGGATGGACCAAACACGGGGAGAGTCTGAAACAGAAAGAACCGTGCAATTAGATTAGTATGAAAATTAATTAAAACATGCGTGGGCTCCTATCTCGGCTGTGACACAACCTGCAAAGGGCAGGGTGCACCTATGTATTGTCCAGAACACACACAAAGACACGCAGACGCGAGTACGCAGATTTTACACACACGACCACGTGGGAATTGCGATCCGTGGCAATTCTGATCGATGGGAATTGCCATCCGTGGGAATTGCGATCCATGGGAATTGCGTCTTCCTCGGCCCACGGGCTGCGCCCAGCGCTCCGCTGCGCCCGGGTCACCCATCCTCCCGCGGAACGCGACCGACCCTGCTTAGCTCCGCTGCCGCGCGGGCCGGTTAAACACCAACCACGTGAGCTCGGGCTCCTCCCCGCCGCGGGCGGGGCCTGCGCGCTCCGGCCAATCAGCAGAGCGCGGGGCGCGGCCGGCAGCGCGGGGAAGATGGCGGAGGGCGGCGCGGGGAAGCGGCCCCGGGGCGCGCAGGTGGGCCCAGCCCGCCCCCCCGAGGGGAGCCCGGGCCGCTCCTCGGCTCCCGCTCCGACGGGAGCCCGGCGGTAACGCGTGCTGTCCCCCGTAGGTTGAGGACAGGAAGGTGGACTGGCGGCGCTGGAAGCAGGAGAGTAAGGAAGGCCGGGCACACGCTGGGGCCGCTCGGAGCGGTCACCGCGCGGTGCTTGACGCCAGGCGCTGTTCTCCGTCCCAGGGAAAGCAGAGACGAAGAAATGGAAGGAGATGAAGCTGCTGAAGAAACTGGACAAACAGCGGATGCGAGAGCTGGCAGAACAGCAAGCCCAGACGCAGGAGGAGCAGAAGGAAGACAGAGGTGACCCAGGGGGGAGACCTGGGTGGAACGTGCTAGAAAGCCTGGCTGTTAAAAGGCAGGCAGTGTTACCTGTCGATAGGAAAGGTGTTACTTCATAGGTTGATGTGGATCAGTCCACATACCCAAACAGGCACAAACACTGTGCAGCAACCACTGCACTAGAGATCTTTCTTAAGAGAAAACCAGTGATTAAAGCTAAGAAAGAGAAGTTGCTTTTCCCCCACCCCGCGTGCAGCTGAAGCAGTAAAAGTGCTGCTGCACGTGGGCTGCCAGGCCGTGGCTCTCTGTCGTGGTTTGCCAGGAAGTGAGTTTCTAAGAAAGTTGTAGTCAAACCAATCAGTGGCTAGATTTGAAAATTAGCATCTGGTGTGGCCACTGGGGACCTGAATACGCCTCTGAGAACACACAGGGGTTAAAAGCAGAGGGACTCTCTTTTTGAGTCTGGCCAGCGAGTTCATCTGACCTGCTCCCTTGTCCAGCTGTGTCTGAGCAGGGGAGAGGCCATGTGGCCTGTGGGAAGGGAGGCTGGAGCCCTGCAAGGTGCAGGGGGGGAGAAGATTTGAGATGTTTAGAACAGCTCCCCCTCCAAGAGAGAGTGATAGAGAATTTGTGCTGGCTTGAAGTTTGACATCTTGTGCTGGCACCATGGCCAGGAGAAGAAAGGGGAGGGCAAGGTGCCCAGCCGCCGGCACACCACGGCTAAAGCTTTAACTCACGAGAGCACTGGCACTGTGGCAGAGCCAATCCACGACGCTCTGGTGCCTCTCCCCAGGCCAGCAGCACACGCTGAGCGTGGCCCTGCCCGGCTCCATCCTGAACAACGCGCAGTCGCCGGCGCTGCGCTCGTACCTGGCCGGGCAGATCGCGCGCGCCTGCGCCATCTTCCGCGTGCACGAGGTCGTGGTGTTCGACGAGCACGGCGAGGACGTGAGGTGAGGCACACACTGGGGGAGAGCACGCTGAGACTGGAGTGCAGGAAGGAGTTCCTCCCTGTGAGGGTGGTGAGGCCTGGCACAGCTTTCCCAGAGAAGTGTGGTTGCATTGTCCCTGTCCAAGGCCGGCTTGGATGGGGCTTGGAGCAAATTGGGGTAGTGGAAGGTGTCCCTGCTCATGAAAGGAGGTGGAACAAGATGATCTTTTAAGTTCCCTTCCAACCCAGGCCATTCTGTGATTCTCTGAAAGAAGAGCCATCTTGTTCTGCATGGTATTTCCTGTTCCTTCACTCTTTTAGTAAGCTAAGGCAGGAAGGAACTGCATGTACCTCTCCCCAGTGCCAGGAGTATGGGGAGAGGTACATGCAGTTCCTCTGCATGTATATACCACTATACCCCAGGGAAAAAGATGTTGACTGAACTGCCCTGGCAGCTCAGATCATTTATCCCAACATGGGGTTAACAAAGCAACAGGAGGCCGAGTTCTCCTGTACTCTTAAACCTTGCTGTGCAGGGACAGGACATCTGTCAGGACATCTTCCTGACATCCTGTCACATCACAGTAATACATCAAGATCAAAAAACAAAACTGAAAAAGGTACTTGGCTTGGAGAGAGTTCCAAGGATGATTTGTTAACAGATTGTCTCTGGAGCATCCGTCTTATAAGGGTGAGAGGGGAGTGATGTGCTGCTATTGTCAGATTAAGAAGCAAGGCTTGGTCTTCTGGAGACCCGACCAATCTCATGCCGAGTTAACAAGCTGCTTGCTTTCACTTTCAGGAGCGTGGAAGGGGATTTTGAAGGAGTTGGGAAGAAAGGCAAGGCTTGTGTGCAGCTGGCTCGGATCCTGCAGTACTTGGAGTGCCCTCAGTAAGTTTGCTTTTCTCTATACTCAGCTCCTTTGAGTCAGAACAGGACTAGAATGGAGATCCAGATTCCACAAAGATACCTTCTCACATTTCACCTTTCTCTGTGAGACAGGTACTTGAGGAAATCCTTTTTTCCGAAACACGAGGATCTGCAGTTTGCAGGTAAATGCAGTTGTCTCTCTCCTTCCTGAGCTCTGGCTCCTGGGACAGCCAGGACTTTTCCCCACTTTGGCACTGGACCTGAGAGGGAAGGAGCAGGGGAGCACCTGCACCTCCTCTTTGCTGTGTGCTGTTCCAGGGCTGCTGAACCCCCTGGACAGCCCCCACCACATGCGCATGGACGAGGACTCGGAGTACCGGGAGGGCGTCGTGCTGGACCGGCCCTCGAAGCCAGGCAGAGGCTCTTTTGTTAACTGTGGGATGAGGAAGGTGTGTCTGTTACCCACAGATGCCAAAACAACTTCCCTTGTCTCCCTAGCAGATCTGCAGAAGGCAGGGTGGGCACTGCTGGGTTTCTGAAGGCTGCAGTGGGCTGGTGGGGGTTTAAGGCTGGTGTGACTTGGCAATGTTTGTGGTTTCCCAAGCCCCAGCAGGTCCCAGGCATTCCAGCAGATCATTGCTTTACTGCTGCAGCTGAGCCTTTGAGTAGCAAAATAAGCTTCAGATTGATGAGCAAGCCCCTGAGCCACACACAGAGCTCTTCATCTCAGCTCCATCTCAGTTTCCCCCACTTCTTCAAATCATTCCCCTCCTTCCCCACTTCCCCAGTCCTTGCAGAATGTCTGGTGCTGATGGTGACTGTCACTGCAGGAGGTGCAGATTGACAAACAGCTGAACCCTGGTCTGCGAGTCACTGTGCGCCTGCAGGAGCCCCAGAATCCAGGTAATCCATGGCTCCAGGAGCATCTGTAAACTTCAGTCCTGCAGGAGCTGGTCCTTCTGTCTGACAGGTTTGAAGGTACCCAGCAGTTCTGCATGTTCCCTTCATTCCATACACAAATTTAATAACACCCTTACCACGCCTCCCTCAATAGCTGGAAAGAACTATCAGCTCTTCTTCTCAGCAGTAAACAGCCCAAACACAAGCTCACAGGCTTTCCAGAACTCACCAAATTTCCAGAATACTTTTTCCCATGCTGGAAAAAGAGAGGGCGATGGCTGTGGCTGGTGAAATCTCACCAGATCACAGGGGCTGTTTAACCTCTTTGCTGTCTTTCAGAAGCCAAAGTGCGGAAGGGCACCGTGGTGTCCTCGCACCACCCCTGGACAGTCTCGGGCTTGTACTGGGGTTACAGCGTCCGCCTGGCCTCCTGCTTGAGTGAGTGTCCACAAGATTCCCTGCCTGGCTGTCCACGCCAGTCTCAGGCCTGCACCTCTTTCCTAGAAAGCTCCTTGTCTGGAGGAGACATGCACGTTACACGTGCAGCCAGCAGCCACGTGGCAGTCAGATTTTAGGGGTGAAACAAGGCATGAACAATTGCAGTCACCCTCCAGGACTGTGCTCTGTAACCTCCACTCACCATTGCACCAAATGATTGTACAACAGCAGGAGATGAGTTGATGCCCTTCTCTATTTCCATGATAACTACATCCCACTCATTCACATCAGAGCCAGCAATTGGAGTTCAAGACCCCTGAAAAATTGTTTTCCTATTTTCTGGGTGATTGGACCTTGTAGGAAGACTGTAAGCTGTTAGGGGGTGGTTCCTGGCACCTGTCTTGAGCTTTGAGGAAAAGGATGTTGGAGAGTTGCAGCAAGGGAATTATGTGGGAAAGAGGAGTCATTCTGTCTCCAGCTGCACTTTTGGCACTGAAAACAACTCCTGCTGCCCCCACTCAACCATGGAGTGTTTTAGTCTGTCCAGCAGGCACACAGGTGAGTACATGGCAGCCATAACCCCAAACTCTGTTTTCCAGGTGCTGTCTTTTCCGAGTGCCCATTCAAGGAAGGTTATGATCTCTCTATTGGGACCTCAGAGCGGGGCAGCTCCGTGGACCAGGTCACTCTGCCCTCCTTCAGGTTTGTGTCCTGCCTGCTTGGAGCCACTCAGAGCTCCCTGTGAGGCTGGTGCAGGCAGCAGAGCAGGGTAAATAACTCAGAACAAGGCCACTTTTTTTGCTCTTTCTCTGCAGTTGGTAGCAGGGACTGTCACATTGGCCAGATGCTGTGGGGCTTTGGTGGGGAGGCACCTGTGGGCACCATCAGCAGCAGACAGCTCCCTGTTCAGCAGCACACAGGAGCCTGGATGCAGTCTGCTCTCTCACCCTGTCCTTGTGCTCTCCCCAGGCATGCCCTTGTTGTATTTGGAGGCCTTGAGGGCTTGGAAGCTGGGGTTGATGTGGACCCAAACCTGGAGGTCACCGACCCAAGCGTCTTGTTTGACTTCTACCTGAACACGTGTCCCAGCCAAGGCAGCAGAACCATCCGGACAGAGGTGGGGCTGGTGGTGCTGGGTGTGCACAGGGCAGTGCTGGGTGTGCCTGGGGAGGGACACTCAGGGCCCTGCTGTGCTCTGACTGGCCTGGCTCTGCTGCAGGAAGCGCTGCTGATCTCTCTGTCTGCGTTGAGACCACACATTGAGGAGGCTGTGAAGACACCCAAAGACAGCTGAGGGAAGGGAAACCACTGACCTTGCCCGTGGGGAGGCAGCTCTTCAAATGTGCTGGGCAAGTACTCCAGGAGCTTGGAGGGACAAAGGCTGGAGTGACTGGAGCTGGCAGCACTGCCCAGCTGTGGGGACCCAGGTCAAAGAGTGACACTCCTGTGAACACAGTGGTCTCACACATAAGCAGTTGCAGGCACATGTCAATGACACAGGTTATACTGGTGTCACCCAGTTCAGCTGCCCTTTTTTCCTTACATGTACTCCCTTGGCCCTCGGATCTGCCCCTTTCCCCCTTTTAAAACCCTGTGTCCTCAGCCCCATTTGGTGTTTGTGCCTGGGCCCTCTTCAATGCAATAAACTGCATTTCGAGCTCTACATGCTCTCTCTCACCTCGTTTGTCAGCAGTTTAAGCAAGCTCCGTGCTCTGGGAGTGCAGGTGGCTCACAGAGACACACCACAACACCCAGCCAGGCACTCAGTGCTGCTGGGAGCCCAGGTCTGTGCCCTCCTGCCTGCATGGTCCAGCCAAGGGCTGGTTGCTGCTTCCCAGCAGCTGGCACAAGCCTGGCAGCAGACTTGGTCTCAGCAACTCGGACATCTGGGGTGGGAATAAAGCTGTAGGGAACCTCAGCTGCTGTGAAATCCAGGTGTGTGCCTGGGTTTCAGGCAGTGCCTCTGGAGTGATGTGGCCTTCAGCCTGAAACGAAGTCAGAACTTATCCTTGTGCCAAGAAGCTGTTCCTGCCTCAGCCTGACTTCCCCCAGCCCCCCTTCAAGGCTTCATCTTTCCCAACAGCAGGAAGGGCTGGAGCTTCAGTTGAGCCTCAGCACTAAAACACATCATCTCATTACAGTCTGGCTCTGTCTGCAATGCCTTAAGCTCTGCCTGCAGTGAGCTCAGACAGGAAAGCAGCTGGAAAAGTTGGCTCCATCCTCCCCTCCTCCTGCTGAGATATTCAGAGCTTTGGTGAGAGCAGATAAGAAACAACCAATTCCATGGGTGTTCAAAGCTTTACTGCTAAAACCATCTTCTGAAAGAAAACAATCACACAGTTCTTTGGCCACAGGAAGGCAGGAACTTCTCCTCTCCTCCCTTGGCACCCACCTTGCTCCCCTCCTTCCCTGCTAAACAGCAACAGTTATTTGACTTCCCTTTCTGCCTGAGTGAGCCTCACACAACTCCAAGGCAGCAGTGGATTAGGGGCAAATCCTAGAGAGCTACTGCAGTGCCAGGTGCCCCTGAGCCTCCTGCAGGACCATTCTGGAGACCTGTTGTGTGTCTGTGTTTCAGTGAGACACAAGGGGAGCAATGGAGAGAAGCACAGGTTTGAATCTGAATTCCCACATTTACATCTGCACAAAGAACTCATTCTGCAGGTGGCTGCCAGTCCCTTGCCAGGGGTTACTGTATTTGTTCTAGTCAGGGTTCACTGCTTTCCAGCTGTGATGGCTTTCAAGCTACTTGTTCTCCTGAGGATGTTTGGGACAAAGAGGAGCCCTGAGGCTCGCTCAATGCTCTCGATGGGGACCAGGAACCGCTCCAGGGGGATTTTCTCATCCACAGGGCTGTTGGGCATCACGTAGGAGCGCAGCTCAATCTCCCCACTCTCCTTCTCCAAGATGAGCACCTTGAAGAAATGGGTGGGGACAGCCACGTTGTTCTTCCCAATCACCTGGTACTTCACATACATCTTCCCATCAGCCTCCATCCTGCAGCAACAGCAACAGCCCAGGTTAGCTCCTAGTTTGGGGTCACTCCCCACCCCAACACCCCCTAAATAACCCCCTACCCACAGCAGGCAGCAGCTCTGCCCCTGCAGCAGGGCTGTGAAACACAGCTGGGACAGAGGTTATGTGACAGGGTGAGGGGGAGCTGAGCATTGGGGCTGCTCCCAAATCCCCTCCCCACTGGCTCTTTAACAGACTTTCCAAGCTGTTTCCTGCTGCTGAAGAGATCTCAACATGAGACAGCTGCTCTTTGGTGCTACATGGAGATCTTTGAAAATAAAGTTGTGTCCTTGAGCAGAGAAGCAGTCCATGACATTGAACCTGAAAGCTTTATTCTGCAGGGATGGGGTCTGCAGTCTAATCTGGTAATCAGTTAATTACTAAATTGTTAATGACTGCAAACAAAAACAAGCTGGTTATACTGCCACTCAAGACTCCCACTTGACTCATTAAATAATCATATGGATGGGAAGTACATAAACTAATCCTAATCCTAAAAAGGCACCTTTCCACAGAACCTCTGTGCACAGCTGGTCTCACTGGTCCCTCAGCCTGTTTTCCTTTCCAGCACAATACATCTTTTGGGTGCCAGTCCAGCTCAGCCCCTCGTGTTTACCTGGGCAGGAAGAGGGGTCCTGTGCAGACGTAGACATTCCTGTTGTTTTTTGCCAAGCTCCTGCAGTACTTCTCAAGGTTATTCCAGGCATGCTGGTTTAAATGAGGATTCTAGAAACACAACCAGTAGTCAGTTGCTGGGGTATTTCCTCACTGTTCACCATAACACCATCTATAACACATCTCACAGAGCCCCAAGCACTTTCCATACCCGATCTCCACTATCACCTCTGCTTTGGGAGCAGTGATGGGCTGGTTTGCACACCCAGGACAGGACCCACTGCCTAAGGCCACAATTCTTAGCAAGCGTGCACCTGTTTAATTCTGCTGCTGACAGAAGCTGCACTGAACGGGGTCTCTCATGCCTTGAGAGGCACGCACAGGCAGGTGCATTTGCAGGATCCCTGTAGTTAAGTGTAGCAGCAAATCGGCCGCTCTGCCTGCAAACCCAGCGATTGTGGCGGGGCGCTCCCCGCAGGGCTGGCCGTACCTGCGGGGCGATGTTGCTCAAGTAGAACGTGTCCCGCATGGCCTTCTGGCTCCAGCGGTGGTTGGCGGCGGCGGCCAGGTGCCCGCGGTCGAAGCCGCTGCCGCGGTAGTCGGCGTTGGTGGCGCGGTGGTACTCGTGCACCGAGTCGTCCTCCTGGAAGTCGCAGGCGGCGCGGTCCGAGGCGCCGCTGAGCGTGTCGCGGTTGAGCTGCTCGATGACCCAGAGCGCGCTGCGGCTCCGCGGGTCGTAGCACAGCACGTAGGACTCGCGGCTCCGCAGCTGCGCCAGCCCGGGCAGCCCGTACTTGCTCAGCTCCGTGCGCCCCGAGCCCGGCGGCGCGGGCGGGCTGGCCGCTGCCACGGCGGGCAGCACGGGCAGGCGGGCCAGCAGCCCCTC